GAGCAAATTAAAGAAAAAAAAATATATGTTTTTATATCCAGAACCAAGTGCCAGACTGGCAAACATCCTTTGAAATACAGATACCCTTTCGAACCAGCACATGGAATGGTGGTTGGGCACTGGGCTCTCACATGGCTAATTATAGTTTGAGTCCCAGACCTGATAGCTTGCTTCTTCACTTTCTCTGTCTCTCTCACTCTCTCTCTCTTTCTTTGGTGAGCTCACATGCCCTATAGCAAATTAAAAATAATAATAATAATAAATAAAGTTAAATAATTCTTAGAAAAAAATTTAAATAAAGCAATAGAGCTACCCTGTTATACGTGAATATATAAAACCATATATTCTTGGGACCAGCAGATGGCATAATGACTATGTTGCTGGACTCCCATGTACTTGACTGTTGTTCAAGTCCCGGACCTGGTGGCTTAAACTCACGCCAGGTGTGTGTGCGTGCCCAAGATCCTGAGAGGAGAATGGAGGAGAAGGGATTGCAGTGTGGTCATCCCCCCTGGGAGATGATTTTTTCTTTCTGTCTCTGTCTGTCTCTGTCTTTCTGGCGAGCGCACACAACCTATAGCAAAAACCTCTTAAAAAAAATCCATATATTCTTTGAGGACAATCACAGTATTCTACTCATATAATGCACATATGTGTGTGTGTATGTATATATATTTTATTTTCATTCTGTATAGATTTTTCTCAACCACTCATTATGCCAATTCTTTCAGTGAATATTCCTAATTATTTAGCTGAGACTCTATCAAGAAAATTAAGTCCATATTTTGTTGACTGCCAGACACTTCCTTATTCTCTCTAGCCAAAGCTTCCCAAGAAAAGGGGGCAATTTAGCTTATCTGTTTTCTCTTATGGAAGATTATATGCTATATTTTAGTAACAACCACATATCATAGTGATGTCAAAATCTGAAAACAACAGTTATCAAGGAGCTACGTGTCCCTGCTCAGCCTAGGTTTTACAGCAGAAGAGTGAAAGCTGGTCTCATCATCCACTACAAAATACCCTAACATTTAGGCATACCCTCAGTGGTAGCCATCCCAAAGAACTAGAGAAATCTCTTTAGGATGAAGTAAAATTTAGAAAATGGAATCACTTATTTTTATTACATTTTTGTCTTTTTCCTTTTTGCTTTTTATGTCTCTTCATGTGTAATAAAATTCAAATACTTCTTTCAAAAATATGAAAATGGTAATCAAAGGGTTTAGAATCCTTTTCAGCTCTGCTTAAGATTCAGCAAGATGTTCTAGTATGAATTCTGGAAATAGCTACTGTTTTAAGCACCACCCTGTAAACATTCATAGTCGACTTTTAGCATGCTCAAAAAGCCAGGCTGTCAACATGCATGTGTTTGGGACTGTGCCATAATTCCACCAGAATGTTTGATCCAGTGTTGAATTCCCTACTGCCCTCCAAATCCCAGTGCTCAGGAAGAAAGAAGAAAAGTGAATTTGATAGTGGACATTTTCCCGGCTCCTTTATTTAAAATTCAGAGGGCAAATTGACATTTTAATTGCATTCAGACACAGGAAAGTGGAGACACGAAGGCTTCATTTTTCTCAGCTTGAAAGTTTATATCGGAAGCTCCTATATTTCATGCAAAATATTGCTATTTGGCACGTGAAGTCTGATGGTTTCAGAAAAGAAAAATTAGGTGCTCCTTTGCACTCATTTAGAAATGCATCTAAACCACACCTTGTATATGATAATGCTTTTCCTTTCCCAGTGCCTTGGCACACAGCTTCCTAGCAGTGCTGTGAGGACCAGGGTCAAGATTCCCTACAAAGGCAATGATGCTCCTATTTACTCCCAGGAACACATGTGGGGAAAGTGTGGAATGAGCCCTTCTCCAATCCTCTGACATTAAACTCAGCCCCGAGACTCTCAGGGCTTAGGAAATAGCTTAGAGTGGAGAATTATTTTCTCTAAGAGTTATGCCCAAACATTCC